TTCAACCAGTTCTCTTAGGCTTCTTAGGCCTCTCATTAGGTCAGAACTCCAGCGGGTTGGAACTTTGAAGGTCCAAAATATTTAAAATTATTATTCTATTTAACTGTTTAAGCATATTTGTATCGTAATTTCAAACGTAGAATGTCTTTTTGGCAAAAATTTAGTCATGATTTGTAAGAATTTTTTCGAAGACTAAGAACCGTTAAATGACAAGAACCGAACCGTTAAGAATGGTTCGGTTCCTTATCGGTTCTATAAAATAATTTATAAGAACCGAACCGTTAGTAAAATTTCATATTTTCAAACGGTTCCACATATTTGGCCTAGGAACCGAACCGGTCCCAGGCCTAGTCATCAAGTGCCAGTTTTGGATGTTATGATGTGGACATTGTCGCTGGAGATCTTTGAATCTTTCCCAAGCCTCATAGAGGGGCTCATTGGGATTTTGCTTGAAATTTTGAATCATTCTCCGGATTTTCGCCATTTTAGATGGCGAAAAAAATCTTTTGAGAAATTCACCATGAAGTTGATCCCAAGTGGAGAAGTGATTGTCCGGAAAAGAGTCAAGCCAACTCTGAGCTCAATCCCGTAGAGAGAATGGGAATAGGCGTAGTCTGACAGCAGTCTCGAAGGAACTTTGTGATGTGATTATTTGGATCCTCCGTTGGCACTCCGCCAAATCGATCATTTGAAACCATTGTTGTTGTTGTTGTTGTTGTTGTTGTTGTTGTTGTTGTTGTTGTTGTTGTTGTTGTTATTGACGGAGCATGATAGTGTTATTCCACTATCAATAGCAATGGCAATACCAATGGCAATACCAATGGCAATAGCAATGACAATAGCAATGGCAATGGCAATAGCAATGACAATAGCAATACTAATTACAACAACAACAACAACAACAACAACAACAACAACAACAACAACAACAACAACAACAACAACAACAACAACAACAACAACAACAACAACAACAACAACAACAACAACAACAACAACAACAACAACAACAACAACAACAACAACAACAACAACAACAACAACAACAACAACAACAACAACAACAACAACAACAACAACAACAACAACAACAACAACAACAACAACAACAACAACAACAACAACAACAACAACAACAACAACAACAACAACAACAACAACAACAACAACAACAACAACAACAACAACAACAACAACAACAACAACAACAACAACAACAACAACAACAACAACAACAACAACAACAACAACAACAACAACAACAACAACAACAACAACAACAACAACAACAACAACAACAACAACAACAACAACAACAACAACAACAACAACAACAACAACAACAACAACAACAACAACAACAACAACAACAACAACAACAACAACAACAACAACAACAACAACAACAACAACAACAACAACAACAACAACAACAACAACAACAACAACAACAACAACAACAACAACAACAACAACAACAACAACAACAACAACAACAACAACAACAACAACAACAACAACAACAACAACAACAACAACAACAACAACAACAACAACAACAACAACAACAACAACAACAACAACAACAACAACAACAACAACAACAACAACAACAACAACAACAACAACAACAACAACAACAACAACAACAACAACAACAACAACAACAACAACAACAACAACAACAACAACAACAACAACAACAACAACAACAACAACAACAACAACAACAACAACAACAACAACAACAACAACAACAACAACAACAACAACAACAACAACAACAACAACAACAACAACAACAACAACAACAACAACAACAACAACAACAACAACAACAACAACAACAACAACAACAACAACAACAACAACAACAACAACAACAACAACAACAACAACAACAACAACAACAACAACAACAACAACAACAACAACAACAACAACAACAACAACAACAACAACAACAACAACAACAACAACAACAACAACAACAACAACAACAACAACAACAACAACAACAACAACAACAACAACAACAACAACAACAACAACAACAACAACAACAACAACAACAACAACAACAACAACAACAACAACAACAACAACAACAACAACAACAACAACAACAACAACAACAACAACAACAACAACAACAACAACAACAACAACAACAACAACAACAACAACAACAACAACAACAACAACAACAACAACAACAACAACAACAACAACAACAACAACAACAACAACAACAACAACAACAACAACAACAACAACAACAACAACAACAACAACAACAACAACAACAACAACAACAACAACAACAACAACAACAACAACAACAACAACAACAACAACAACAACAACAACAACAACAACAACAACAACAACAACAACAACAACAACAACAACAACAACAACAACAACAACAACAACAACAACAACAACAACAACAACAACAACAACAACAACAACAACAACAACAACAACAACAACAACAACAACAACAACAACAACAACAACAACAACAACAACAACAACAACAACAACAACAACAACAACAACAACAACAACAACAACAACAACAACAACAACAACAACAACAACAACAACAACAACAACAACAACAACAACAACAACAACAACAACAACAACAACAACAACAACAACAACAACAACAACAACAACAACAACAACAACAACAACAACAACAACAACAACAACAACAACAACAACAACAACAACAACAACAACAACAACAACAACAACAACAACAACAACAACAACAACAACAACAACAACAACAACAACAACAACAACAACAACAACAACAACAACAACAACAACAACAACAACAACAACAACAACAACAACAACAACAACAACAACAACAACAACAACAACAACAACAACAACAACAACAACAACAACAACAACAACAACAACAACAACAACAACAACAACAACAACAACAACAACAACAACAACAACAACAACAACAACAACAACAACAACAACAACAACAACAACAACAACAACAACAACAACAACAACAACAACAACAACAACAACAACAACAACAACAACAACAACAACAACAACAACAACAACAACAACAACAACAACAACAACAACAACAACAACAACAACAACAACAACAACAACAACAACAACAACAACAACAACAACAACAACAACAACAACAACAACAACAACAACAACAACAACAACAACAACAACAACAACAACAACAACAACAACAACAACAACAACAACAACAACAACAACAACAACAACAACAACAACAACAACAACAACAACAACAACAACAACAACAACAACAACAACAACAACAACAACAACAACAACAACAACAACAACAACAACAACAACAACAACAACAACAACAACAACAACAACAACAACAACAACAACAACAACAACAACAACAACAACAACAACAACAACAACAACAACAACAACAACAACAACAACAACAACAACAACAACAACAACAACAACAACAACAACAACAACAACAACAACAACAACAACAACAACAACAACAACAACAACAACAACAACAACAACAACAACAACAACAACAACAACAACAACAACAACAACAACAACAACAACAACAACAACAACAACAACAACAACAACAACAACAACAACAACAACAACAACAACAACAACAACAACAACAACAACAACAACAACAACAACAACAACAACAACAACAACAACAACAACAACAACAACAACAACAACAACAACAACAACAACAACAACAACAACAACAACAACAACAACAACAACAACAACAACAACAACAACAACAACAACAACAACAACAACAACAACAACAACAACAACAACAACAACAACAACAACAACAACAACAACAACAACAACAACAACAACAACAACAACAACAACAACAACAACAACAACAACAACAACAACAACAACAACAACAACAACAACAACAACAACAACAACAACAACAACAACAACAACAACAACAACAACAACAACAACAACAACAACAACAACAACAACAACAACAACAACAACAACAACAACAACAACAACAACAACAACAACAACAACAACAACAACAACAACAACAACAACAACAACAACAACAACAACAACAACAACAACAACAACAACAACAACAACAACAACAACAACAACAACAACAACAACAACAACAACAACAACAACAACAACAACAACAACAACAACAACAACAACAACAACAACAACAACAACAACAACAACAACAACAACAACAACAACAACAACAACAACAACAACAACAACAACAACAACAACAACAACAACAACAACAACAACAACAACAACAACAACAACAACAACAACAACAACAACAACAACAACAACAACAACAACAACAACAACAACAACAACAACAACAACAACAACAACAACAACAACAACAACAACAACAACAACAACAACAACAACAACAACAACAACAACAACAACAACAACAACAACAACAACAACAACAACAACAACAACAACAACAACAACAACAACAACAACAACAACAACAACAACAACAACAACAACAACAACAACAACAACAACAACAACAACAACAACAACAACAACAACAACAACAACAACAACAACAACAACAACAACAACAACAACAACAACAACAACAACAACAACAACAACAACAACAACAACAACAACAACAACAACAACAACAACAACAACAACAACAACAACAACAACAACAACAACAACAACAACAACAACAACAACAACAACAACAACAACAACAACAACAACAACAACAACAACAACAACAACAACAACAACAACAACAACAACAACAACAACAACAACAACAACAACAACAACAACAACAACAACAACAACAACAACAACAACAAGAAGAACAAGAAGAATAATAATAATAATAATAATAATAATAATAATAATAATAATAATAATAATAATAATAATAATAATAATAATAATAATAATAATAATAATAATAATAATAATAATAATAATAATAATAATAATAACAACAAGAAATTGTACTGCCTGTTCCAGAGGCCATCTGAAATCTATTGCATCTTTTACCACCAATACCAATGTCAATACCAACAAAATAATAACAATAATATCTTGTCATCCTTGGCACTCATTTGGCAAAGTAATCCCCACTGAGTATCATCATGTATACCATTTACTAAAGAGTTCTAAGAGAACGGCAGCAGCAGAATCCTTAGCTTTCTTCACACTCGGCATAGACTCTCCAATGCATTCATCTACCCATCCTCTATCAGACGTATTTACACGTACTGCAAAGGTAAATCTCTTTGCGTGTGCAGGACCACCCTGATGGACACACCTGGAAACCCTAAATATTTCAGTTCATGAACAGTTCAAAATAAAATCTGTTGCCCCAAACCCAAGCGCCTATGAAGCCTAAGGTGTTTGGTGGAGAAATCAGAGTCTCTTATAGCGGTTGCATTTACACATCTACCCACAAGCAGTTCATGAACAGTTCAAAATAAAATATTTCAATTCATGAACTGTTCAAAATAAAATTTGTAATCCCTAACCCAAGTGTTTGGTGGGAAAATCACAGGACATTACTTATGGAGTCCCTTATAGCGGTTGCATGTACACTTCTACACACAAGCAGTTCATGATCAGTTGAAAATAAAATATTTCAGTTCATGAACAGTTGAGAATAAAATCTGTAACCCCGAACCCAAGTGCCCATGAAGCCTAAGTTGTTTGGTGGAGAAATCATCAGACTCTTAGACTCTACTTAGGGAGTCTCTTGTAGCAGTTGCATGAACACTTCTACCCACAAGCAAGTTCAATTAAATTGAAACTGCTACTCGAGGTGAGTGGTCATAACATCAGGCTACGATCTACTACTAAAGATAGCCCGAGGGGAGGACGTTCAATTTGGTGTATTATGGAGTTTAATCCTAGCAAGCCAGGGGGAAAGAGGGGAGGCACTTAGTACAAAAGCAACAATCTGACGACAACTTACCTATACAATGGCAATGGCCAATTTCTACGTAAACAAATATCATTCAAGGTCTGTCTCGTAAATGTGTGGCTGCAAATGTTCTTATTCTCATCATCTTGACCCTTGTTAGCTTGAGCAGCAACAGCCTCCTCCTTCAATGCAACAAGGGCATTCCTTGCAGCCAGTTTTTGAGCCATTTTTTTTTGAGGATTTTGAGCTATTCCAACCTGGACACCATCAACATATACCTCAACAGTTGCTATATTTCCATTTCGATACGCTTTATACTCCAGGCCTGCTGCTTGATGTTGACACCGTTCTTGCAGTTCACGAACTGGATGCATTGGAAGTGTACTTGGAGTAACCATTGGATGCAACAATGGCTGAAATACCTGGTAATTGATGTATCAAATCATAAATAGATGCATTTTACAGCTCAAAATCACTACTCATCCATCCCCAACAAAAGTTATTTCCTCTTCTTTAAAATATTAGCCTAATAAGAACTAACCCTCCACACGGCTGCTGTGTTACAGCCACTATCAAGATAAATAGCCCCTGCAATTGATTCAACAATGTCACCAAGAACCTTGGGAGCTTTGCAATCCCCTAAACCAAAAGAATTGATCTCTGTTTTTGACAGTTCATTTTGCACTTCGAAAACAAAGTCTCGAATCTGGACCATGGCAAAACAAAACAAAGTTATCCAATGAAATTCCAGGAGCAAACATCATTATATAGACACCCTCTTTTAATTCTTTATAATAAAAAACTACTTTATAAGAATGACATCAAACCTGCTTTTCAAGAGCACTAGATCCATGACGGAGGTGTATGTGAAGGTTATGTGTAACAGCAACACGTGCAAAGTTTTCATTGTTAACAGCTGCAGCTCGCAGGTCAGTCAAGCGTCCGGGGGGCAGATCTGTGTAGGTGAAGAACAAGTACTTAGTGATAAGATGGTCCAGTACTGCATCACCAACAAACTCCAGTCGTTGGTAGCAAGAGACTCCAGTAGATGGACGTGAGGCATGTGTAATTGCTTCCACCAGTAAACCTTTCTCATTGAACCTCGTGTTCAAAGCACCTTCAAGTGCTTCAAAGTCAATGCTCCTCAGTATGTTCTCAGGAACGTTACTGGGCACAATCTCTCTTCTCTTAAAGTCACTGGAATAAAAATCGATCTTAAATCCAATCCATTTCATGAAGTGGTTCGCTGCATGCTTTCCACCTTCAACATAATACACGCCAATAAGTGCTTCCACGACATCAGCTAGAGTCTTGCTAGAGAGAACACGATATGAACTTGAATCATTCTCAAGCTCACCATCTTCCATCTCATTTCCACCATATTCATCAGTATTATGAGATATTCCTTCTCCACTTTCATCATCGAACAGCGTTGATTCCCCTTCACATGTGTCCTCATCAAACACAGGTGGAACACCAGGAGCAGTCCACCTTGACGGAGAGAACCGGTCTGCTTGAATATATGACTGCAGTTCCTTGGCCAATGCATATTGATACAGCATCATGTTACTCACCATTTGCTGCCTCAATCTTGTTAGTTGGCCTTCGTGTTTTTGGGGAAACTCGAGGAAAAGAAACTGACTAACAACCCATTTCAAATAAGCATCCCCAAGAAGCTCTGCTCTTTCATAACAGAATGTCTCTTGGCAAGAAGCAGCTGTCAGTGCTTCCAGGATCTGTGAAATTAGTAACTCTTAATCACCACTCACTGATCTAAACATAAGAGTGATTTGTAATTAACTGATTACGTTCACCATTCATCGTCTTACCTTTGAAGCAGGGACACAGTTGCTTATGTTATCTTTAAGCTGCACGGCAAGCAGCATGCTTTCAACTCTCCTCATCACAGACGGTAATCTTTGGGCCCCACGAACCAGTGGACCAGGAAGTGGATGCAACAAACAGAGCTCGGGGGGTAAGAAAACATAATATGTTTTCTCATTAGTCTCGTCATACTCACTATCTTGAACTTGAATATCACATTAAATTTTTTTTTTAGTCCAATGTGAACTCTAGAATGGCATAAGAGAAAACCCAAAAACAATACCTTCGGAGTGTTCGAAGCGAGGGGAAAGAAGGTTCTTGCAATATGAAACACCACGACATCTCAGTAGAGGCTGTTGCCGATATAACAAATCAACTCCATATCTGTTACAAACCGAACTGAACAGTATAATGCAGTATATTTGTACTCAAATAAAAAGAATTGTTACAATCAGGACTTTTTAACTGATGAAAGAGTAGCGAATATAGAACAATGACTAAAGTGGTTTTGCATTCTCAAAAAGAAGAAAACTAAATGTTCCCACTTAAAAAAGTTTAGATGGTCCTTCAATGACTGGGACTTCGTTAGAGTACGACTTAAGTGCATTAGAGCCATTCAGTCCTCAAAGATGAAAGCAAGAGTTAAATTATTAGTGTTCTAATTGTGTTTCTTTATTTAAAACTGCATAATTGAGTAAATACATGCAAAGTAACAGAAATTAACCGCATACTTCAGCTTATAGTAATCAGCATAAGTTCTGTACTCCATGGGACCCAGATATCCTTCTTTCCTTGGAAATAAACTGTCAGCTGTCATCTCATCCCGAACGGAATCAACATAAAATCTTTTTCCCGAGTGTGCTGCAGTGACGATCCTCCCAATCAGGTCTTCTGGCCTTGAATAACAGTCAACCGTCACTAGCAAGTTATCTCTCAATTTCACATCATCAGGCATTTTAACGGTTAGAGCGTTAGGAGCCAAACCAGATGCCTTCACCACATCAAATCGTGCCACAGCACCTCTAATGCCATACGTAGGATGGGACTTCACCGCAAAAGCAAAGCCATGCCTCAACTTACCGAAACCATATTCTCTTCTATCCCCACCAAGCGCTCTCTCATTGGTGCCAAGGTAAACATCAGGACGAGCTCTTTGCAGGGGATTTCTCCATGCATCTGTTTTACTTATACTTTCAACAAGTTGCCAATCAATATCTTTCCCAGATTCGCCACCAGAAACAGGAACAAATAAATATGCCTTCGCAGCATCCCATGGTGTGGTGGATGGCTCAACATCAACATCCAATACAATGCTCATTAGTCTCACATGAAAGCTCTTCAGTGATGCCAACTGACACATTTATAATAAAAGCAAATAACGGAATATTAAAGTTAAGAGCTGACTGATAATAAGGCAAGGCAATAAATAATGAGCTTTTATCAACCTGAGCCTCTGTAACTTCTATTGATCCCAGGAAGAGAAGAGAAGCTTTTGTTATCACAGTGCGAGCAATAAACAAATCTATAGACATTGATAATACCTGTAAGACATGAAGTTATATAACAGGACAGATTGAAAAAGACTAATATGTGGAGGCAACCACAACAATAATTGGATCAAGGTGCTAGGGGGGGGGAGATAAAACCTCTGCATCCAATTGATTGCCAAAGAGCACAGCAAACTCTGACACCTGAGTTAAGAATGGATCTTTTGAGGAACCAACATTTACACATTTTACAGCATACATGTACAGATGGAAGAATTTCGAGCTGCTAGAATGTTCCTTCCCTAATAAAATCCACTCTCCCTGCAAAGAAAATGTGAATCGAGGAGTGAAACTCATATTTCTTCATCAATAGGGCCAACACTAAATCTAAAATGGATGATGGAATGTCGAAGGTTTTTGGCACCACAACCAAATACCACTCTCCACAAGTGGTATTTGGGTAATTGTGAGTCAATGGCCTCTATACAAGCAAAAAAGAATCAAGAACTAATCCAGCAGAGGTGAGATGGGTAAAACTTAGTCCAACAGCAAAAAAAATCATGAAACCGGTCAAAATATATTTTGTTCTCGTGTTTGGCATTGAGCTGTTGGCTGAAGCCTACAGTCAAGAGAAAGGAAACTCATAGAAAGTGTACTCCAATGACATTAAGTAGTACTAACTCCTTCCCGGCTTAAGCTTTTCATTAAAAATAGCACGGTTATTTAAACAATAATTAAATTGTCATTCGAGTATATTTTGAGAAGTAGTTTTGAAGGGTATATAATATAATGAGGTCATTAATGAAAACTGTGTTGCTATAAGTGTTTTTTAATATTTGATGATTAAGTTGTCATTTAAGAGTGCGAATTATTTCCTAAAATTGAAATGGGTACCTGATACACGTGCAAGTGGGTGGATAGTACATTCTAGGAAAAGGAAAGGCAATCAAAGGTTTATGGGAAAAAATCAGGAGCAAATCAATGAGGAGACATAATATAAAGAGCACAATTAGTGGGATTAATCATTAATGGCTACAGTAGCACAATTTAAGGGATGGGACATCTATATTGATACACTTACTTTATTTATGCAGAATAAACTAGTATAAATAAGGTCCTAGGCTAGAAGGGGACCATATCGGGAGTCATTACAATAATTTAGAATAGTTGGGCAGAGGTTCATCTCTGTTGGAGGTTGCCTTCTAGGTGTACCTTGTCGTTGTCATCTCTTTTTATTTCCTGAATAAAGAATAAAGAATTGCTATTGTGATTTAAGTCCATCCTGCCTCTTTACTCTATCAAGTTGGTCCGATCTGCCGCTTGACGATGCCAGCAACTTGCATGGATGAACGATTTGAAGCGTTGGAGAAGAGCCAGGATGCATTCCGTACAGAAGTCAATCAGCAATTCCTCGGTATCCAGGAATCCCTTTCCTACTTAACTGGGTTACTGAATCAATCGTAACTTGCCAAATGACAGTCTGACTCCAGCACTAACATCCAAGATGCTTCCACCCTGGATTCATCAAAGGAAAAGTCCATAGACACCAATCCCCATACTCGAGCCACATCTCTAGACGATTGTCAAATCCCTATTAACCATATCAAATTACCAATACTCTGGTACAGATCCCATGGGGTGGCTAGCACGAGCAGAACAATTCTTTGCCATTCACTGTACTCGAGAGAATTTGAAAGTGGCGACGGCTTTCGTTAGCATGGAAGGCCCTGTTTTGCATTGGCTTCAATGGCTTCAGCAACAAAATCCCCTGCTGGGTGCAATTCAAGAGTGAACTGCTCGAAGAATTTGACGGTGACCTGTCTGGCCCCCTGTTTGAACAGTTGGCAGCACTTCGCCAGAAAGATACAGTTGCTGATTTCACCAACGAGTTCCGGGCTCAGTTGGCACAAATCCCTGGCCTCGCATCACATGTTCAATTGGGATTATACCTAAATGCTCTTAAACCTGAAATTCGTGTAAAATTCAGGCCAAGTGACGTGGTTGATCTCCAGACAGCCATGAATGTCGCAAAAGCTGTGGAACGGGAGTTGCTATTTTCGGCAACAGGTCGTCTCATGGGCGGCTTCAACAACGCTAAGGAAATTAAAATAAACTGGTCCTCAGATGTTGGGCAAAGCGGGATTGATGGGAGAACACCATACGGCCCAACTAAACAGTCTTCCTTGTTTTACCCAAAGCCCACCACAACATTTTTCTCCTACTCTCCGACACCAGGGGCAGCCTTCTGCACCAAAACCAGTTCGCCGTTTCAGCAACCGTGAATATTTGGACATGCAGGCCAAGGGACAATGTTTTCGTTGTAAACAACAATATAGTCTAATGCACGTATGTCCAAATAAATCGCTACAGATCCTCATTGCAGAAGACGATGAAGATGAACTCTCCAAAGAGTTGAACCCAACCGACTACCCAAAGGTTGATCTCCCGCCTGCAGACAAATCTCCCAAATTTTTCTCTGTGATCTGCCCTTGACAGCACTTGGAGGTATCAATGGACCCAAAACACTAAAGTTTTTGGGTTGGGTCGCAAACCAAGAGGTGGTTATCATGGTTGACAGTGGAGCTAGCCACAACTTCATCTCTGAGAAATTAAAGGACTACATCAATCATCCCTTGAACGCCACACATCGCTTCGGAGTACGATTAGGAGATGGCAGACAAGAACAATCATCGGGTAAATACTCACAGTTGCCGGTCAATTTGGGACCAGTTACAATGTCCTTAGATTGCTATTTGTTTCCATTGGGCAGCGTTGACATCATCCTTGGGATGGCTTGGTTGGAGACTTTGGGGGATGTCATTGCTAATTATGCCAAGCAGAATTTAAAATTTAAGGTGGACGACCAATTAGTGCAACTGGTAGGTGACCCATCTCTGCCTTGCCTACCCATGACGTTCAATTCTCTGGAACGCATGACTTACATCGATACTTGCTACCTCCTTTGAAGTTTGGATGACATGTCTCTCTCAAATTATGAAGGTAGTGATATCTCCTTGGCTCAACAAACTCAGTTAACAACATTCTTACGAACTCACTGCCAAGTGTTTGGAGAGCCACATGACCTTCCCCCTTCATGACTACATGACCATCAGATCATTCTGAAGGATGAAACAACTCCAGTCAGTGTTAAGCCATACCGGTATGGGCATAGTAAAAAAAATGAAATTGAACGGTTAGTGGAAGACATGTTGCTTGCGGGTATTATACAACCCAGCTCTAGCCCATTTTCCAGCCCAGTTCTCTTGGTCAAGAAAAAAGATGGGAGTTGGAGGTTTTGCGTTAACTACCGTGAATTAAACAAAGCTAAGGTGCCAAATAAATATCCCATTCCAGTCATACAAGAGATGATGGATGAGCTCCACGGCGACCTATATTTCTCCAAAATTGACCTTCGTTCGGGCTATCACCAAATGGTCATGCCTTTTCTCAATGGCTCCTCAAGATGTGCCAAAAACAACGCTTCGTACTCACTCAGACCACTACGAGTTCCTAGTCATGCCTTTCCGATTTCAATGGTCGCAACCTGCCCAATCAGCTTTTGAGGCATTAAAAGCGGCAGCTCCTGTTCTTGCAACACCAGATTTTTCTCTTCCATTTATGATTGAATGTGATGCCTCCGGTAAAGGGGAGGGGGCTGTTTTGATGCAAGGACTACGCCCTATTGCATATTTTAGAAAGGCATTGTCAGGTCGCACATTGGCCAAATCTGCTTATGAGAAATAATTGATGGCGCTGGTTTTATCCATTCAGCACTGGAGGCCATATCTTATAGGCAGAAAGTTTGTTGTCAGAACCGACCACCGAAGCCTACGACATCTACTCCACCAGAGAGTCACCACACCCTCTCAACAAGATTGGATTTCTAAGCTCTTGGGATATGATTTTGAAATTACATACAAACCGGGGAAAACCAACAATGCAGCAGATGCATTGTCACGTCAGCATGAGACGATGCACTTATTTGCGATTTCTCTACCAGTTTGGGCGGATTGGAGTGAGTTAGAATCAGCTATCTCTAGAGATGCTTATCTGCACTCTATTTATGAGAAATTCAGCGCGACCCCGCCAGCAGCCCACAGTTCCAGTTGATTAATGGGCGACTTTTTTACAAGGGTCGAATAGTTCTCCCAGCCGATTCACCCTGGATTTCGAAGCTTCTAGAAGAATTTCACTCCACACCTATGGGAGGTCACTCTGGAGCCTATCGAACCTATCGACGTTTGGCCTCGAACGTGTACTGGAAAGGAATATGAAACGAGTGCAGCAGTTTGTATCTGAGTGTCCCATATGTCAAAATAATAAGTATGAGACCTTGTCACCAGCTGGACTTCTTCATCCATTGCCCATTCCATCTGCTATATGGGAAGACATTGCTATGGACTTCATCACGGGCCTACCTCGCTCCAATGGATTTGATTGCATTTGGGTGGTCATTGACCGCTTCACAAAATATGCACATTTTGTGGGACTACGCCACCCGTTTACTGCGAGATCTTTGGCAGACGTGTTTGCCAAGGAAATTGTTCGCTTACATGGGGTACCACATTCCATAGTAAGTGATCAGGACCCAATTTTCTTGAGTAACTTTTGGGCAGTCACCCACAAACTGATGGGCAGTCAGAGGTTGTTAATAGGTGTCTCGAACAGTATTTAAGGTGTTTTACTTCCGAGCAGCCAAAGCAATGGGGTCACTATTTGCATTGGGCAGAATAGTGGTACAACACTTTCAGACACTATATGGGAGAGCACCACCAACACTGGCTCAATATTTATCGGGGGAATTTAAAGTGGCTGCAGTGGCAGATGATCATGGGGATCGCAATGAGATTCTACGGCAGCTCCGTTACAATCTGAAGTGGGCTCAGCAGCGAATGGTTAAAGTCGCCAATGCCAAACATCGCGACTTGGAATTTCAGGTGGGCGACTGTTACGGACCGTGACACTACCAATAACAAAGACTCTTATTAAGTAATTTTATTATTCTAAATAACAAGGTTTTAGGCCCTATAACTTAATAGAAGTGGGCTGGCCCATTAGAAATAGAATAAATAAGGGTGAGGGGTGAGTAGATAGGCAGGCACAAATTTGGGATTGGGTATTGGGAGAGTGAGGACTCTCGAAGAGTCTCAATTGTATTTCCGTTTCTTTCTTATCAATCGACGGTATCTTCCGTTTTCAGTACTTCGTATCTCAGTTTTTTCCTTTTCAACGTTTGGTTCCTATCATTGGTATCAAAGCGAGTGATTATCGCTATACCTGCGCATGGTCCTGACTCGATCGAGAATGAAGCAACGTGTGGAAAACCGAGAAAATACCTTAGCGGAAGTGAAGACTGCAGTGACGGAACTGCTTGGCTTGCGCGAAACAGTGGCCGAACTGAAGAATCTGATACTACACCGGGATCGCCATAGGAGAAGAGGAAGGTCGCGGGTGTCTAAACATCATCGCAGGGAGGAAAGTGCGGACTCATCGCATACCAGAGGTAATTCCAACAGTTCTCACGCTTCTTCCAGTAGTCCAGAAATTGTTGTGGACCGATGTTATGCTCGCACGGGTAGGAAGGTTGACTTCCCATTTTTAATGGGGAGGAGGCGCATGGATGGATAATTAGGGCTGAGAGGTTTTTTAGGTTGAATCAAGTGAAGGACAATGAAAAAATAGATATGGTGATAGTAGCTATGGAGGACAAGGCTTTAAATTGGTTTCAATGGTGGAACACACCACTGTTCGTACCTGGAAAAACTTTAAGGAATCGGTGATTCGAAGGTTCCAACCGCAGATGGTTCAAAACCCGTTTGGTCCCGTACTTAGCGTGACACGGACAGGATCAGTTATGGAGTATAGTGACAAATTCGAATTGGTAGTAGCCCCCATCAGAACTATTGACAATGAAATGCTTTAAGGTATTTTCATGAATGGCTTGACGGCTGAAATTAAAGCTGAACTCAAATTGTTTCCAACTCAGAGTCTGACCGAGCTCATGGACAGGGCACTTTTATTGGAAAAGAAATGCAGCAATAAGGATAAGAAGTTCTAAGGAGGAAGACAAGCTAGCAGGGAAAGAAAAAGGAGAGGCAGTATCCAAGCCTCAACAGTGGAGGGAAGGGAACTGGTCGGGATATAACCAAAATCATACCAGCCTCACTGAGAAGGTTTCTGCCAATATCAAAACAAAGGAAGCACCAAAACTGAACCAAACATGTGAGGGAGGTCAAAGGTTGACACAAGAAGAGTGGGCCTATGCTTCAAATGTGGAAACAGGTGGAGCAAAGAACATGCTTGTGGAATGAAACATTATCAATTTGTCTTAATCGAAGATCCAGAAGAAGAGAAGGGAACAAAAAATCAACTGGCTAAACTGGAGGAAGCTGAAAACTCCCTGAAACCTAACGCCCGATCAATCTCTAATCAGTCACCTTGAGGACAAGGTGGAAGTAAGGGGGGAGTGATGTTACGGACCGTGACACTACCAATAATAAGAGTCTTATTAAGTAATTTTATTATTCTAAATAACAGGGTTTTAGGCCCTATAACTTAATAGAAGTGGTCTGGCCCGTTAGAAATAGAATAAATAAGGGTGAGGGGTGAGTAGATAGGCAGGCACAAATTTGGGATTGGGTATTGGGAGAGTGAGGCCTCTCGAAGAGTCTCAATTGTATTTCCGTTTCTTTCTTATCAATCGACGCTATCTTCTGTTTTCAGTACTTCGTATCTCAGTTTTTTTCCTTTTCAACGTTTGGTTCCTATCAGTGACAAGGTCCTCCTTAAGTTCCGACCACACAGGCAGACCACGGTGCAGAAGAGGATCAGCCAAAGTTCACCCAGTTTTTCATGTCTCCCAACTAAAACGAGTTACTGGAGAACATCCCGCTCTAGCAGAACTTCCAGATGATTTGGTGGTTGAAGACCCAAGGTTCGTTCCTCATGATATTATAGCTTCAAGAAAAATGAATGGGGTGCATCAGGTTTTGGTTCAATGGGAAGGCAGACCTACCGAGGAAGCCCCCTGGATGGATGCTGCAGATTTTCGCGGTCAGTTTCCCCACACCAGCCTTGTGGACAAGACTGTTTCCTTGGACAGCGGCAATGATACACGTGCAAGTGGGTGGATAGTATATTCTAGGAAAAGGAGACTCTACAGATGAGGTGTAACAAACCTGCAGAATCTCAGCAACACCTTCTGGATAAAATTCCCTGTGTTTAGCCAATCCTGTAAGGGGATCACCTTCATCACTTTCCTCAACCTTTTCAGATTCTGTTCTACTTCCCTTGTCTGGCAAGAGCATGTCAGTCAAGGCTCCCATCTCATGGAGCTTTTTGCACGCAGCCAAACAAACTGCCTATACATTGCAAGGTAAGTATTCAATGTGAACAATACCAAGTAATATAGATGGAACCAAATAGGCAACAATTATAGCACCTGTTGTGCAAGATGAGTGGAACTACATATAGGACCATCAAGTCTATCAAATGGTGCACTGCAGGGGAGCTGAAGCCTGCATGAGTACTCCATTGGTGCTCCTGGCTTCTCAAGACGCTCCATTATAAACTCAGGACGAAGAATGGAATACCTGGAACAAAATAACTTAATATGAATTCATGTCCGGTAAACGATATCTAACATGCACAAAAAGAATCAGACAATTGCTTTTTAATTCAATTTGCGAGATCATCCCATAGAAAGAGACCAAAACACTTAAAACATGTTCAGTAAGCACCTTTTATGTCTTAAAGTGTTGCTTAGCAAGCATGCCCACATGTTTTACTAAGGAACATGTTAAACTTTTTCATATCGACAAGTATACCCCTCCTTGGATCCGAATGTTTGCAATTGCGCCTTATTGCGCGCCTTGGCTACTTCCAGGAAAATTGAGCAAGATTGCATTGCAAAAGGCGGATAGGCTTGGGACGTACGTTCCAGGGCGCAGAGGCATACACAATTTCACATGCGCAATGAGGCGTCCAGAGGCGTACGCCATATTAGATATGCTATTCTGCTGTGTAATGCTTTCTTTGGGCTCATTCAGCCCAGTTTTTAATAAAAGACTTGACAGAAGCCTCAGTAATTCGCAACATACACGTATTAGTTTTCATTCTTCCTGCTTCCTCTCAGCGACTACAGAGCCTCTTTATCTACGGTACTGCCTCCTCTAAAGCGCTTCTTATTTGCTTCAACTGTTAATATTTCTACGGTACAGTGCCTCCTAAGGTACTGAGCCTCCTCCACTTCTTATGTTAATATTCTTCAACATTTATTATTTTCTTCATATTAATATTTTTATTATTTTGCATCGGTTAAGTTTCTGTATATTAGTATATTCTTTAAGATTTTATATTTAATATTAACTTCAACTTTAATATTAATATGTAGTGTTATACTTCCTCTGTTCCCTTTTAATTGCAACAGTCAACATTTCACGTTTGCCAACGCACAAGTTTGACCATTAATATCTTTCATTCCTTATTAGTAAAAAATTTAAAAAAATCATATTTTGAAAATTTAGAATGAGAAGAATTTAATAATATTTTTTTAAAAAATAATTTATAATACATTAATGAATAAAATATAGTCAAAGTAGAATATGTGAATAGTGAAAAAAGTCCAATGTTGCGATTAAAAGAGAACGGAGGATAGTATATAATAATAATTTAATAGTAATAATAATGTCAATATTTTTCAACTTTTAATGCTTTCTGCATATTAATATTTTATTATTTTCCATCTATTTGGTTAGTTTACATTAGTATGTTTTTTCAGTTTTTATAATTGATGTTAACGTCAACTTTAATATTAATATATAGATTTCTATTTAATTTAAGTGAGCTGGCACAGTTAGTTAAAGTCTTTTTAGACATGCTCTTATAGACTCAACTGTAATTGATTAGCCTAATGTGTATATTATATACTTCATGTACGTTACTCATTTGACAATAATGAAAATAAAAATATCTTGTTCTTCTAAATCTTCATCCTACTTCATCTTCTAATATGGTTTCACGAGCTTGTGTTTGATCTTTTTCGTCAGCCATGGCAATTGATAGTACGACATCATCATCCACCTCCTGTACTGGAAACTTTGTTTTTCCAGTAGCTTTTGCTCATCCGCTTCACCTTAAACTTAACTCAAACAACTACTTCATTTCGTTTTTCATCGTTAAACTTGAGATTCCAACTCGGTTTATTGATCCAGATCATGAAGCTCGTCATGTTGTTAATGAAGCTTATCTTGCCTGGGAACAACAAGATTAGATGCTTTTTTCCTGGCTTCTGTCTTCGCTATCGGAAAAGCTTCATGCACATGTCATTCACTGTCGCCATTTTCATCAGATCTGGACTGAGATTCACAAATTCTTCACGACCAACATTATCACGCAAGCTAGACAGCTAAACTCTGAGCTATACACAATGGCTAAAGGTGAGAGAACAATATCTGAGTATCTCCTTCAGATTCAAACTATCATTGATACACTACTAGGTATTGGTGAATAGCTAATACACAACGGCTAAAGGTGAGAGAATGATATCTGAGTATCTCCTTCATATTCAAACTATCATTGATACACTACTAGGTATTTGTGAATCAATCTCTATGAAGGATCATATCAATGTAATCCTTGAAGGTCTTCCAGAGGAATGAGTCGCTTGCTTCCTCTATCACTGCTCGCAGTTCTCTCGATCCTGCTACCATCTCTGAAGTTGAATTCTTACTTCTAGCTAAGGAAATGCGACTTAATAAGCTTCGTGAAGCTTTGCAATCAACGTTATTCTCTGCTAATGTTGCTCGCTTAGAAGAATCTCAAACCAACAGTGACTCGAATTCTCATGACTCTCAAGACAATACTTCTGCTCATCTAATCCATGCGAATCAGAATGCTAATCGAGGAGGCGGTGGTCAATATAGAAGCAGAGGTCATGGCAATTCATTCAGAGGCAACTCTAGAGGTGGAGGTCTCTTTGGAGGGTGCTCATCTACCATTTGTAGGTGTGCAATAAACATGGTCATCATGTTTTGGTCTGCTATCATCGCTTTAATCCTGCTTATAACTTCCTGTCATACATGCCTCAAGCAACTTGGTCCAGGCCTCCAACATCTATGCCTAATTATCCTCCACCAGCTCACTTTCCTCAGCATCCAGGATCTTCACATGCTACTCCACCCTCTACTCCACCCTCTGCAACTAGGGCTTGTGCTAACTCTTCCGTTTTGGGACCTGCTCCACAGTCTCAATCTTGGTTCCCAGACTCAGAGGCCACTCACCATGTTACTGCTGATCATCTTAACCTGCATCAAAGTGATTGTCCTGTTAACTTTGACAAACTCTTTATGGGCAATGGTCAGGGTTTGCATATTAAGCCTGTTGGTTCTTTCTTATCCCCATATAACTCTTCTTGTTGTCTTTCCTTAAATAATATACTTCACGTTCTTCCATTACTAAGAATCTCATTAGTGTTAGCCAATTTGCCAAAGAAAATCAAGTTTTCTTTGAGTTTTACCCTTATGAGTGTTTTGTTAAATCTCAGGATTCAAAACAAGTCCTCTTGAATGGTACACTTGGCAATGAAGGTCTTAAACGATTTCAATCCTTTCCTGGTCTGCATCAAACACATGCTAGTCCTCAGCTCAAATCTACTCAAGTTTCTCCTTCAAATGTTAAGACACATTAGTCTTCATCTATGTTTCATTGTAGCAGTCTTTTGTCTGATTGTAATAAATCATCTACTGTTGTATCTACTCTGAATTCTAATAATTAGAGTGCATCTACTTCTATTTTACCTTGTAAACTTTGGTATCTTAGACTTGGTCATCCTCATTTTGAGGCTCAAGTCTGTACTTACACAATGTAATGTTCCCTAATGCTCTCAAGTCTGTACTTAATTTTGTGGGGACCAGCTCCTGTTACTTCCTTTGATGGATATTCATATCATATCTCCTTTATTGATGCATTTACCAGATACACTAGGATATATTTTCTCAAATCTAAGTCTGATGCTTTTACAGCCTTTAAGATCTTCTTTGAGTATGTCCATACACAATTTTCTACTCCCATCAAATCTGTCCAATCTGACCGGGGAGGGGAACTTCGACCATTCACTCAATTCCTTTCTAAAAAAGGAATTGTTAACAGAATTGCTTGTCTTAATACACATCACCAAAATGGTGTTGTTAAGAGAAAGCATCGCACCATAGTTGAAAAAGATCTTACCCTTCAAATTTTAGGATACAGCTTTTGCTACTTCTGTTCATCTTATAATTAGAACTTCATCTGCCTCAATTTAAAATTCAAAATTATTCTTTCTTAAAAGTGTTTGGATGCTCTTGTTTTCCCTTTATCAGACCATACAATAAGCATAAATTTGATTTTCACTCTGAAGAATGCATCCTTTTGGGCTATTCTTCTCAACACAAGGGATATAAGTGTCTTTCTCCCTCTAGGAAAATATACATCTCTAGGGATGTCCTCTTTAATGAATCAAGTTTCCCTTACCCCAAACTCTTTTCCAAGTCTTGTTCGTCCTTGAACCCAAACACTTCCACTTTTTCCTCTATTCCTTTACCTATTCTCTCCAACCTTTCTACACCTACTCAACCAACTGATTTGACTCCTTCATCTTCCTCTTCAATACTATATACGCCTATTGTAATAGCTTAGTATTAATCTAGTTGTCACAGTAAGTCTGTTAGAGCTGTCTATTTTTAGTTACAAGTCTGTTAAGCATCTGTATTATAAATAGACATGTACTGGCCATTCAGATTAATGAGAAATCATCTTCTTCCTTTTCAATTCTTGTTGCTTTTCTAATAGATAGAAGGTCAACTTCTGGTTCCTGCATCTTTCTTGGTCCTAATCTCATCTCATGGTGGTCCAGGAAGCAACTTTGTGTTGCCAGATCATGAACTGAAACTGAATATAGAAATCTTGCAGACACAACAACAGAGATTCTTTGGACTCAATCTCTACTCCAGGATATTCAAGTTTCACACTTTATTCCCAAACTGTGATAACCTAAGCACAGCTAATCTAGCTCACAATCCAGTTCTAAATTCTTCCAAACACATGGAGCTTGATCTATACTTTGTTCGCAAGAGAGTTCATTTGAAACAACTGGAAGTTTTTCTCATTCCTGCTCCTATTCAGATTGCAGATGTGCTCACTAAACCTCTTCCTAATTCTAGGTTTATTGAGTTGAGATCCAAATTGAGTGTTACTGACTTTTCAAATAAATCAACCTCAGTTTGAGGGGGGAATGTTAGTAATATACGTGTATAGTGAGTTGGCACAGTTAGGCACAGTTAGTTAAAGTCTTGTTAGACATGCTGTTATAGACTCAACTGTAATTGGTTAGCCTAATGTGTATACATACTTCATGTAAGTTACTCATTTGACAATAATGAAAATCTCTTGTTCTTCTAAATCTTCATCCTACTTCATCTTCTAATACATATGCGTTTGGTGTGGGTTTTAAAAAAATAAAGGATAAAGTGATTGTTTTACAATTCTAACCTCCAAAAAGTAAGAAAGAGAAAAATGGATCCATGAAAAATTGGGTAAAATGATAGGTAATGGGATAAAGTGGGAAAGTAAAAAGTCAGTGGTCCAATTTAACAAAGTGTTCATATTTTTGGGACAACCCAAAATGAAAAGTGTATCTTACAAAATGGGATGGAGGGAATACTAAATTTTAATATTAATTTTCTGTTAATACTCAAGTAAGCATCATATATAAAGCTCAATGAAGTTAATATTAACATTATGTTAATATATTGTTCTTGTTGTTAATTCTGGAATATTATATATATTAGCTACGAGGTTAATATTATTATGCGTATAAATTTTACGCCTCAAGTCTACGCCTCATTGCGCAATGAGGCTTACACAATGTGCAATAATAAAAAATGCCACAACTACGCAATACACAATTTTAATCCTTGTTGCATCCCACAATGACAGTTGTTGTACCCTTACCCTACACTACTTAGCGAACCCCACCCCTACCCCCATCCCTACCCACATACCTAGCCCCTAACCCCACCCCTTCTCTGCCCTTCCCTTCCCCTATCTACCCCCACCCCACACACTGACATCCTACTACCTCAACCCCTAGCTCCTACTCCTCCTTCCCCTTCGTATCCTTCATCGTCATTGGTCCTTGTAAATCGATGGCTTTCTTCTCTTATGTTCAAAGCTTTAAGGGCTAGGCTTGTTGCTAGGGTTTCATTTCAAATTTGAAAAGAGTTCAGCCTTGAGCCTTTACCTACCTAAATCAATTCCCTTTGGCCTGGGTCTGGGATTGATCCTTTCTCTTCCTCTAGTCTAAGTGACTTCGCTTCCCACCCTGAATTAGGAGTTCTGGCTTTGTTAGCCAGGCCTTTGAAACCAAGGAAAGCGGTCATCAAGCCAGAGCTAGGCATATCCGACCCCACTTTTTTAGTTAGGGATTGGGTAACCTATTAAGGAAATTCCTCCTCTTTCCACATTATTATAGAAAACTGTCTTCTAGACAATGATTTCCCCTGGCTAAGAGAAAGGGGAAATGGCCTGATCTATGCTTATGCTCTTGTTTACGGAGTCCGGAGACGGCTTTCTTGTGAAATCCATGATGTGAATCTCTCTTTCTGCTCGTCAGCATAATGCATGCTACACTAGCTATACTACACTCCTAACCCTGCACCTCACCCCAACACCCGCCCACTATGCCCCTACACTCACCCCAACCCTACCCTATTTCCTTTCCTACCCCTACCATGGGGAAGGGGTGAAGGTGAGGGGTTAGGGGGTAATAGGTGATAGGGATGGTGGTGGTTGGGGACTGTGGTAGGGCTGAAAGTGGTCATAATAAGGAGGTAAAGTCCTTGAAGGTTATAATATACATTTTAAAGTTAAACCATGTTTTAATAAACCCATCGGCCTCGTGAAGTAAACATACGTTTATTAAGCACCTCTTAGTAAACAACGGGTTGGTAAAACATGTTTTAATAAACAGCGTTTACTAGCCCATGAAGTAAACATGTCCTTAAACTTCTGCAATGAAAAGACACTGCACCTGTCAGTTGGCAACTGGGAGCAGTAAAAGTGGATGAGTCCAACAGCAGAGTTTAAACTCACAACAGCACCGGTGGAAACCACCTGGTAAAATGTATCGGGCAATGCCCTTGTGGAGACTAAATTGGAGGCTCCGTTGAGATGGCTAATGTCAGTCCTCTCAATGGCTTCCTTCCGCACTGTCTCTTCACTGTTTCTAGAATTCCTTAGAAATGCTTCATGTGACAAATTTCCTCTAAACAAAATATCATAGAAAGGTGACTTTAAAATACAGGTTGCATGTATTTATAAAGGGGTTTCCTAATGTGTGCCCATGAGCACATGATAAATATATTAGTGTGTTTTTTAGGTTTTAAGGAATGGATTTGATGTTATTTTTAAAATGAATGCTATTTAACAAATTATTATAATCACCGCTAAAATCTATACATTTATCGCTATTATATAAAGGATAACTTTAAAAGAAATTTAAGCATTAAATGCTCATTAATGGTTTATTATCATGTACCCAAACACACACTCTAGGAAAACTAATCTCTAAAAGCAGACAATACAAAAACAGATGTACCTTTCAACCATCAAAATATAATCGGAACATTTCTTTCGAGCACGGCCCCTGGATTGAATATAAGCCAAAACAGTTTTTGCAAGATCAAAGCGGATGACAACATTACATTGCGGTATATCGAGACCTTCCTCAGCAACACTAGTGGCAACTAGCAAATTAACCTGACAAGCACATGATGTCTAGTATGAGATGATGGAAAATCAGGCAACATTATGCACTGCTTTTAATGCAGTATATAGTGAGAGCACTGACCACATTGAAGTTTTTTTCCCTTTGGTTAGATCATGAGCAATTACACTCAACATATTAATTAGTAATGAGTATTACTATCCCTTTGATCACCAATAATTGAATATTTTGTAACAGATGTATGCTCTAGTTTAAGGGAGACTGTTGACTCATCTTAATAAACTAGCTCAAATTTGTATAAACCTTTGTTTTGAGTAACTGTTCAACCCTGGGTTTGTGTAAAAATAGAGGCACTTCGTAATGAAGCAATAGACCACTATTACAAACCCGTCTCTATTACTTTCATAGTATTGTAGATTTCAAACAAATCTTACCATTTACCACCATGCATCAAAAAATTGGTTCAGTGATTAAATCATAATTAGAATGATAAAAATTAAGGCATCTTAATGATTTAGTCATACCCGCCCATCACGGAATTTGGCAATTGTATCCTGCATTTGACTAGTCCGCATATCTTGGCTATTGTTGTGCCCAATCAAGCTTGCTGACTTGACGAAACTTAGTGAGGGTAGCTCTGCAAATACCTACAGGGTTGTTAGATTTAACTTTCTTAAGATTAACAATATGAGAATGAGTTCCACCTTAAAAAGGAAAACAAGCATTGGTATGTCAACCTTTGGAAGAACCAAAGCAGCAACAACACGTTCAACAAATATAATTGCACGAAAATCCTCTGTGTGTTGATAGTTGAGAAGAACCTTGATTAAGGACTGAACCTTTGGTGTCACTTTTCCATCAGCAACAGCAGCTCCAATTATCACATCGACATGCTCTCCACCAGACATAACTATAAAATAAAATACAATGATAAAATACCAAAATACAATGTCAAATATATCTTTAATAAGTTGTGCTAGTGGCTTTATGTGTCCAGCATCAGCAATTATTTAAGTTTCTCAGTAGTTAACCCATGCAAACCTAGCTTTTAAAATCCACTCATTTAATCAAATGAGACTATCAAAATTCTATTTGAAGCCCAACTTTCAAGCCCACTAGATATTGTTCACCTTCTATGTGCATTTGTGATGTGAGTAAGGGACAAGGTAAAAAACATCGAAATAAAAATTTGCTTTATCTGTAATCTGTATGCTACAAAATCAAATGGAAAACACAAGCCAACCAGTGATGCAGGCTAGCACAAAGACTTACGAAATGAATACAATTAAAAAGAAACTTTATCCAGAGGCTCACACCATAACTGTCCAGAAGCTCTCCCTCCTCTATCTCATCAGTCATGTTACTTTCTGGAGTCTTACAATGATCTGCATCCATAACTTGAAAATTACTTTCTGCAACTGCCCCCTCACTCAGCTTACATTGCAACAGATCGACAACTTTACTGAGATGAGATTCTTGAAACTTAACATCAGGTTGGAAGCTTGGCCTCTCATCACTTTGTAAAGCTGTTAGGAACGAGTGGGCAACCTGCAATTGAAAAAATAGACTAATACAGTTTTTGTTTATTTAAAGAACGACTAAAGAGAACTTGAATTATATGAGTCTTATGAGAATATATTCTAACCTTAAAAGCACACCATTGTCCTAGTTCACCAAGTGCATAGTTTATAGCCCTTAACTTTTGAATTAAATTAGCAGCACCATCACTTTCAGTTCTTTCAGACACACCATAAACTAGACGCGACTCTTCCTTAACTCCAGCATCTCGAGCACCCATAAATTGCCATTTACTTTTTCTTGAACTTGAATGGGCTGTTGCTTCAACTACCACTTCCATTTGTTTAATTTGATCATGAAGAGACCATAAAGTAGCAGCTTTATCATACTCTACTACGGTTTCAGATGGCATTGGCACATGCTTCTCCAGCTCCTTGCGGTCATTTACAGTGGAAACAACAGAGTCCAGTTTAATCTCCAGGTTACGAATCTTAACTGCACAGTCCACTTGGCTGGAAACACCTGCACGAGTGCAAAAATAAACTCCTCTACGTCACTTGCCAACTTCAAAGTTAATTCAGTAAGCAAAACTCATAATAAAACTTTCAGAAGTGATAGCAGCTTATAATTATTCAGCACATACCAAGATTCTTCTAGATGCCCTCACTGATAACTATAAACAATGACACAAAACATCCACAAGTACACAAGATTCCACTATTATAAGAAACTTTAAATTGGACGCAGATAAAAGACACAACTTGTTAGATGCAAATAAATTGACACAACCCTTATAAACAGCAGGTAGAGGGGCAAAAATATCAATCACGAATTCAATAACTAAAAATAAGCACAGGTACGGGAGAGACGAGAGAGAGAGGAGAGAGAGGAGAGAAGAGAGAGAGAGAGAGAGAGATGAGAGAGAGAGAGAGAGAGAGAGAGAGACGAGAGAGAGAGAGAGGAGAGAGAGAGAGAGAGAGAGAGAGAGAGAGAGAGAGAGAGAGAGAGAGAATATGTAAGAAGAATACCTTTTAGGTTAACAGGAGAAGCAGTCATCCCAAAAACTGAGGGCCTTTTTTCCTTTGGAGTAGTGTGATAGAATTCGGACATTACTAAAGAGTATGGGGTGCTTCTTCACAGCATGATGACATTCATCCAGAACAAAGGAGATTAATAGATTCCATTTTTATTATACTATGCCTCAAGATGTTCAGCAAAATTTGAGCTGTCATTACTAACACCTGGAATGATAGGGAACATACAAATGAGGCAATTAAATTGTACTGTCATATAATCGTGATCTACATACTTCAACGAAAAAGTTGATGCATATAGGCATATTAGTTTTCATTTTTCCTTCTTTTTATAGTAGGAATGGAAACAATGACACTCCCAGTTAACTAAGAGAGAATTCCCTAAATAAGACTAAAAAGAAGGTTGAATTTCAAAAATAGGACATATTGTTTTAAATTCCCTAAAGAATACACTTTTACCGCTAATTAACCTAACCCAGATGTGTGACGCATATCCTCTATTCCTCTGCCCTCTGCAATCTTTCGCGCAATTCATCTTCCTCTACCATGGCCGCAATTCATCTTCCACGATTCTTTCCTCTACCATGGCCACACCTCCGCCATCGATTGTAGACTCGCAGCTCCGCCATCACGACCTCTGCTGCAATTTTTCCAGCCCAGTCAGTATGTACTCTTCCTTTTCTTCTTCTTCTTCCTCCTCCCCTTCCTCTTCCTCTTTTTTTCTTCTTTTTTTTCTTCTTCTTCTCATCCTCTTCAATTTTCTGGTACTCTGTTATCTTGATCTTTGGATTTCAATTTTATTTATAAAGCAGGAATCTGAGAATGCCATAAAATTATCAGTAATTCGAAGACTGTCAATTTTATGGCATTACATCTATGAAGATGACAATTTTACTTTGAAGTTAAAAAAATTTAGAAAAATGTCATAATTGATGTTTAATCCAACACTGATTCATAATAATGTCACTTTTATGACATTACATTTGCCAAGGTGACAGTTCAAAGAAGAAAATGACATCTCCAAAGAGTAATAATGTCATTCTCATGACATTTTCGAAACAAAAATGACATATTTAAAATGTCAATTTTTTGAGTAACAATGTCAGTTTCATGACATACTGTCATCTTGATAAATGTAAAGTCATAAAAGTGACATTTTTCTAATTGCTTGTAATTTATGGCATTTTGAGGTTCCAAAGTAATCAAATTAATAAATAAATAAAAAGTTGAAATCTAAAGAAAAAGAAAACAGAGGACCCAAATAAAATTCAAATCCAAAAAAAACCAAAGAAGAAGAGAATAGAGGACCAGAAATTTAAAGAATAAGAAGAAGAGGAGGAGGAGGAGGAAGAAGAAGACCTACCTGGCCGCCGATGAGTGCAGGGCTACCGTCGACGGCGGAACTGTGATGCGAGGCCACAGTCGATGTTGGAGCAGCAGTCCATGTGAGGAAGAGATGTTTTGCGTTGAATTGCAGAGCTGGCGGGGAGTGATGCGATGAATTGCAGGTGCAGAGACTTGTAGGCTTGATTGAATAGGGGTAAAAGTGTAATCTTTAGTCCTATTTAGGGAATAATAAACTTAAAGTCCTATTGTGGAATTTATACAATGTTTTAGTCTCATTTAGAGCAATTACTTCATTAACTAACAGTAAACACAAAATACTAGAAAATATAATTCTACTCAGTACATGCATATCAATACAACTACACAGAGATTTATTTTTTGGAACCTAAATCCTACCTGTTTGGACTCAAACTCATGCTGCCACCGCCGAGCATCCCAGAAATCTTGTCCCATTTCACCACAGTAATGCCCTACTTGATAGCCAGTTCTTTCACGAATGACTTCTGCTTGCTGCATTACATTAAAAGAACAGTTGAAAAACTTTTTCCAGTTCATAGAAATAGAAAGTTAAAAAGAGCTAGAGAAAAAATATAAAACCTCACTAAAAACAGAAGAATAAAAGAGGACACCTGGTAAACCAGTGGAACCTTAGGAACCAAAAAAACAGACAGCATCTTTTTATTTTGTTTTTGCAAATCAGAGTAAATGCTTCTTATAAGAAGGATTGCAATGAGTGTTTTCCCAGCCCCTGTTTCGAGAAAAGCAATAGTGTTTCTCTGTTTTGCCTGTTCAAGAACATCCAATTGGTATTTACGAGCCTGCTGTTCAGGGCATTGGTGTTCCTTAGGTTTCTCAAGTTTCATCTCCAATCCTCCTCCATTCCTTTCAACATGTTTGCCAGAGTAGAGGACGACTTTCCCTCTGTTCTGGTCAGCTTCCCAGGAACCTGTTCGGAAAACCGTTTCATTCCTCTCTTTGTCCCTCTCCCAATAGCCTCTTCCATCATTCCAATCTCTCTGCCTCCTGAAACACCCTTGCCGTTCTCTTCCTTTAATATCATCCTTGTCAGGCCGCCTACTAACATCACTAGACTGGCGACGTCTCTTCCTACCTAGAGGTCTTTCAGGGTTTCTTCTCTCTTTCATGTTTTCACTGAGACGCCCCCTTTTGCCATATCTACCTTTGTCATCAAATTGATTGATGTGCTCTTGCGAGTATTCATTCACTTTATATACAGACCGAATCTTCCCAAAACCACTTCCACTCAGCTCCATGTTAGTAGTGGTGTGTAGGTGTGCAGAACTACCATCTTTGTGACTGAAATTGTTGGGATCGTTTAGACAACAAGAGTCAAATTCCACTGCTGAGCGCTGATTTACGTTGCAGTTGGTTGAAGGCACTTGAGCACCATTCTTGATATTCTCCAGAATGTGATCAATCCCGCCGAAAAAACAAGGATCAGGACCACTAGACTCATGAATGGTGCTTTGGGAGACAATAGTGGGATTCCCAACAGTGGCCGTGGCATGGGATTCAAAATTGACATATTCGTGGAGCAAATCGTCGCAAGGATAGTCCTCGCACGCATCAATCCAGTACGAGGGTTTGACATTATCGGCGGTAACAGAAACCCTAGCCTCACCATCCATTACGATTTACAGTCCCAGTACCTGTTTTTTACTGCAGATGTATTGTGGACTTGGGGTAGAATGGTACTGTAGTACACAACGACACTCTCACCAGTCACAACAACCAATTTCGGCGGATGGAATAAAAGAGCTGGTTTGATTACATTCACACAGAAAAGATCAGTCCATCCGGAGGGACCGGAGGCACAGTCCGGCCAAGGCCATCAGAGATCTTTCCCGGTGGAATTTTTTGATGAAATTTTGTTAAAATATTCATCATCAAGTCTAGTTTATCCATTCCAAATTTCAGCTAAAAATTCAATCGGGAAGGCACTCAAGTCTAGTTTATCCATACCAAATTTCAGCTAAAAATTCAATCGGGAAGGCACTCAAGTCTAGTTTATCCATACCAAATTTCAGCTAAAAATTCAATCGGGAGGCACTCAAATGATTTTTGGAAGATAACTGCGTTTTATATGTATATAAACTGCGTAGTTAACTTCCAAAAATCATTTGACTGTCTTCCCGATTGAATTTTTAGCTGAAAATTGGTATGGATAAACTAGACTTCATGTAGAACATGCTCAAAAAAATTCAGCAAAAAATTCCACCGAGAAGGGGCCCAAATGGTGATGGCTGGACGGCGGGTCCTGTCCCTCCGGCTGGAAAGGATCAGGCCTCTACATTCATATTTGATGAAATTTATATAATTCGTGATTATGTTGATATAGGCTTAAATAGGCGCCGCCTAGGCAGGCCTAAGCGCAAGGCGCCAACTAAACGCCCCCTTTTATGTCTTCATGACAATTTTTTCTTTGATGCCGGGGAGTTGAAAAATCTTCAGGATGTAGCTTGTGATCCTTACCTTTCAGAAGTTGCTCTTGATCAGCATTAATGAATTCCGATGGTGCCTATGGAACGAGTGTTCGGTTGATATACAGGCGCACACAGAATTCATCTTCAGAACTTGAATACTTGACCTTTGTCTCCTCAAAGTTTACATGGCACAGCGGAAAATTATTGTTTTTGAGGAGATCTCGTCAGTGACACAGCGGAATAAGATAGTTGACTTGTGAGCGTAGCTGACCATTTGATTTGAAGCTGGCTTGACACTTGAGTTGAGAAACAAGAGTGTCATAGTTGTTGTTGTTGTTTTGTGCTGGAGGAGAGAAGTATTCAAAAATGATTTGTTGATAGTGACAGCATGTGGACTACTCTCCACCTCATGACGATCCGATGAATCGGGGCGTCATGCTTTTATTCTTTTATTTTGGGAAACAAAATTGAAAACAAACATAAAAGTTAAATGATAAAGATGGGATACACTGAAGTGTTCCGTTAACACAACATCAATGTAAACACTGATGTGTGGCCTGTATAAAACGATATAAGCATTAAAGCTTTAACAGGACTTCCAACTAGTCATTGTGAAACATCTGAAGTAGATGTCACTCTAGTTGTTATGAAATGATCATAAAGATCAACAATGAAAGTGGTAGCCCCCCCGAGGTCGTGAAGACACTAGTTATCATCACTATAGAGATAAACTCTAAAGTGATGGCCTGAACATGTTGGTGATTTATATGTTGCAACAGCAGGATTTCCTTCCAATCATCGGTCTATCTAGTAGATGAGCCCTATGGAAGTTCTCGCATGGTCACTTGGACCTGCAACTGACTCAAAAGTGTGTCTGTGTCCTAGAAAATTCAAAACATTTGGGAGTGAGATATACATAGACACAGCGTGATCAATGAAAGTCCAGTGGCATGGGGCTGAGGCCACTGTAGTCAGTATCACTTGCCTCGGAAGGAGACAGTAATGAGAGATGGGGTTCCCCATGAAATATGATTAAACACTTGTCTGTTGGGAGACAAATGAGTGGTCTTGGGTAGGGTTATGCATGCATTGTTGGACAAGATGCAGTGACTTCTACCCGGGATCTGAATAAATTCAGTCCTGAACCTATGGGGATTGTCCAGGGTATTTGAGTGACTGGGAGTAAATGTTTAATTGATAGCAGGCAGTTGAGGCAGCAGACTTATCATTGATTATTGTTCTCTTGCTCGATTGAGCCTACTGCTTCCTAACGCTCATAGAGTTCACTCACTCACTCATTCACTCGCTTACTCTTGGCTTTGTCCCTTGGGTAGGCTTAGTTGGGTTTACTAATTCATTAGGACTTCTCTCTCATTTCTCTCTCATTCCTTTGTTTATTTTCTCTCTGTGCTCCTCCTCAACTGAAGCACTCGGTATGCTTTGTTATCATTTGGCACTGGGAAGGATAAAATTGAAAACTCCCCCTCAAGTGTTGCATCCTTTGAGAGAATCCTTGCTTTGTCGTTGTATGGCGCCAGGAGGAGAAACCTGAAACTCCCCACCAGATTGTGCAAGGGTTGATTGCTCACAGCTTGTTATACCTGCCATGTGTATGGAGCAATCTGAAGAGGTACTACACATGACAGTTTACCCTGTACTCATCATCTAGAATTTCAGCACGTTGATGATCACACATTGTATTGTTGATGAGTTAGGGGAGGCATCAGTAGTTGATTGTTATGAAATGACCATTGACGCGAGGTTGATTGAATTATCTACGAGTTCCAGACCTTACAGTGTAGATTAGACCAACTTTGACATTTGGTTTGACTTTGGTTTGATTTTGGAAGAATTGACCAGATTTGCCTCAGTTTTGACCTTGACTTTGATTTTGGTGATTTTCCAGAAAACATATGATATCTCCCTCAACAAAGGCGAGTGAGGAAGCAAGACAAAGGGTTCTGGGGTTTCCCTGAGGATTCATGTAGATCTTTTCATGAGCTTTCCGAAAAGGTATTATACGCGTAAATCGGATCAATGAGTCAAAAGTTATGGCCAAAATAGTGCAGGACATCGAAATGTTTGAATTTTGAACTTTGAAAAACTTTTCGAAGATGAGGTTTTCGAGGTCGAGTTTTCGATGTTGAGCTGCGAAAACCTTTTCTCGAGGTTGATATCGAAAACTTGTTCTCGATAGTGAATGTCGAAAATGTCTTCTCGATAGTGAATGTCGAAAACGTCTTCTCGATAGTGAATGTCGAAAACGTTTTCCCGGTATTTGAATATCGAAAACTTTTTCTCGATGTTTGAATATCGAAAACTTTTCTCGATGTTGAATATCGAAAAATTCTTTTTCGATATTCGAATGTCGAGAAACATGTTTTCGAACTTCAAACTGCGAGAAACTTGTTTTCGAACTCCAAACCACGAGAAACCTATTTTCGAACTTCAAATATCGAGAAACCTGTTTTCGAACTTCAAATATCGAGAAACCTGTTTTCGATCTTCAATTGCGAGAAACTTGTTTTAGATCTTCAACCTGCAAGAAACATGTTTTCGAGCACTAACTTCGAGAAACTCAAGACTTCGAAAACGTTAGAATTTCTAACCAGTTTAGAACATCAAAAACTTTGAAATTTCTAAAACCTCGGAATATCGAAAACTTTAGCTTTGAAAACCTTCAGAACTTCGAAAACTTCAAAAAGCTGAGAATATAAAAAATTCTTTTTAAAACTTCGAGAAGCTGAGTTAGAAAAGTTCTGAAATTGCGAAAAATACCAAGCTTCGAAAAAAATCCTGAGATTCGAGAAAACTCAAAGTTTGAAAGGTTCTAAACATCGAGAAATTCCAAAACTTCGAAATCTTCAAAACATCGAGAACTTCCAGCTTCGAAAATCTGCAACTGCAAAAACATAAATTTCTTCAGAAATGAAATTGCAGGCTATTGTCAAACATATTTTGATCCTAATCTTCTAGAAATTTTTGAAAAACGTTAAAAGTAGATCATCAAACCAAAATATCGAAAACTCAGTTTTTCGAATAACCATGGTCTTTCTCGAAAAAGGCAGATCCGAAAAACGCAGATGGATTCGATATATTTCACGCCTCGGCTCTGATACCACATGTTAGTCCCAATTTCTAACAATCATACAACCATAGAAATGAAGAAGAAGCAGATAGATTAACCAGAAATTTGGTACATCGTGTAATGGCCGCTGCTCTCCCTCTAGAGAGAGAGCAGCTGGAAACTATTCTCCCTATTCTGCCTCTATACTCTAATGCTTTGGCTTTTCTCATAAGTTAGCTTCCTTTTATCGGAGAAGGAGGCTAACTTATGGCTTACAAGAGGGCTAATGGGCTGATATGGCTCTTGTAGCCCATTTACACATTTAACTAACAACTACACAAATACAAAGACATCTAACTAGATTGGACACCAGAAAAAGTCCTAACACGAGATGCATTAGAGAGTGGATTGAGAGATTTAGAGGTCACCGGGAGGTTTACAATGAAGATTTGGAGCCTAGTACGCACGATCATGCGTGCATGGCAGTAGCTTCGCGGTCGTTTCCTCTTCACGCACGATCGTGTGTCCCTCCAGACACGATCATGCGTGGCTTGTTCTTCACCGTTTCTTTGGTTCGAATTTGACAAAACTTCCTTCAAGAAAGTTGTAGATAATGAAGTCCTCTATCCACCACAACTTTTCGAATGGGATTTGAATCATCCAATCAAAAGATATGATCAAAACGGTGTAAGGTCGCATTCTGAAATCGCAACAGGGAGTATCTGACTTCATCGTCTGTTTTCACCTTCTTTCTCTCAGATTCTTGCAAAGGTGTCTTCATATGATTTGTATCCCTTGAATTTAGCTTTCACTTGGAATTTGAATTGTGTTCTTTGGATTTTTCTACAAGGAGATATGCTTGAACGATTGACAGAAGGTCATCCTGATCGTCGTTTTCAAGCTCTATTCGTCTTCTTTTGATCCCATTGCCAATCCTAGAGCTCGTTTGTCATCAAAACTTCATCGTAAACCTCCCGATGACCTCCAAAGTTCTCAATCCACTCTCGAATGCATCTCGAATCATCCCGATTGCTCCTCAAGCGCCGGTGCCGAACTCTAAATTCCTGATTTTGACTCCAAATGACACAAAACTCGAACTAACGCCCGGTAAACATAACTTGAGCTAAAATTGAGACTTGCAACACCTTAAAGCTAGGAAAACCATCAAAAGCCGATCCCAACACGCATCAAATGCGTGTTGTAATACGAACTTATCATAGAACCTCTTGTTTAATCCATCATATGATTTCT